CTTATTTTACAACACCATGGATGTACTTTACATATAGAATGTTTGGAATGAATTCTAGGACAGCTTAGGTTTTTTTAATGTCCCTTGTCCCACTGATGTATCAATTAGGTTGTAATCCTGTTTTACCCCAACATTGGTTAAGTTAACAGAAGTGCACGTTTGGTGGGATTTGTTTTCATGTACATGCATGTGCAATGTGTTACGTTTGGAAAATTCTATGGGAGTGACCATAACTGTAAGTTTAGAATTTTACATTGTCAAGGTCTATTCTAATGTCCATAACAGAGTGAAATGTATTTGTTTAGAAAACTTTTGCTGAAAATAAACGACTGGATTTTCAATGCATACATGTACATGTATAAATTATATTAAAATTGTATTCACAATTTGATAGACTATAGATTATTGTTATGAAATATTAACTGAGTGATATATAGCAAATACAGGTATATATTTTTTATTGTATATGAATTATCTGCAAGTTGAAGAAGATTAATAAACTTTTTACTTTGTGTGCATATGCACAAATATAATCATAAAGAAAGAATGGACATCACCATCAACATGGTCTAAGATTAAGAATCTGTAATTGGTCCATTGTACCAGGAGATCACATTCATAAGTCAACTTACAGTTTCTGAGATAAATTCTCTTGTGTTCATCACTCAGATCACTGAATTACCTTGCAATAGATATTCTACAGGAAATTCTGCCCTGATTATCTTCAGAATAAATTTGTTCTGCTTTAATCCTTAATTCCTCTGAGGCACTGGCGTGCTGATGAATTAATTTCATCCATGAACGCTAATCGCATATTGATGAGATTTTGGCTACGGTACAGTATATTTTCTTTGTCCACAACAATAGTTTCAATCAACAGCTCCAAACAACTATCTGACCATACTGTTGAAATTTGAATGGTGATCCTCATATTCCTCATTACCTGGCGAAAGCATATTAAGATTTCTAAAATTGATATTTTGGACAAAATAATGTAAATTTTATCATAACGTTGTCAAAGTAAAATTTCTTTTGCTTTTATTGGAATTATCTGAGTACATGTAGTTTTAGAGATTATTATTGAGAAATATAAAAATATTTCCTTTTTTTCATCAATGACTTTGAGTCAAGCTCTATCAAGACGATGACGCATTATTAGTATTTGTGCATTCACATACATACGTATGCCTAGTTATAGGTGGTAGCAGTCAATGTAGCAAACAGTAATCCGCATACACCTACATGTACATGTACATTGTATATTTAAAACCCTATATATAAATGGACCGGTGCAGGTAGACATCAGAAATACCTGTGCAGGTGCTATTTCCAGCCCCGAGACTGTTTGCACACATTTCCGTCTCCCCATTTCTTGTCATTGACATGTTCAACATCATGTCAACAGTGAATTTGAACCCTTGCGACCTTCCCAGTGTGAATACACAAACTGGAAAATTGTAGCTACAGAAAAGAGAACATAATTTGGCATTCAAACATTCCCTTTTCTCTCTTGCTTTACTTAAGTTTGGTCTCCGACTCCAACAACAGCCAATGAAGCATTTCTGACAGCAAAATTAGGAAACAGTTCTGGGAACTGCACTTCTTTCTGTTCTCCTTGTCAACTCCGCCACTGCCTAGCGATCCATAGAAGCCAGAGAAGACCTTTCCTTTTCAAGAGGAAGACAGTGATACAATCCCTTTTGTCCAAGCAGCAATTTACTTTGATGTAAGTATCCTGGAGATATCTTGAGGATTTGCAATAGTCAAGTAGGTCATTCAGAGTTCAAAGAAAGATGCTACAAGAGCACAGCATTTTAACCATAACAGATAACTATAATGAGGATTTTACAGAAACTCACGGAGCACTCATTATTCTATATCATGGTACAAATGTACATCAATGTCGGTATGCTAAAGCTAAAAGAGGCTGTGTGCAAATATATCATCCAATAGAAAAGCACTCACTGAACTAAAATCTCTATAAAGAGCATCTCAGTATGGATTATGACAGGAACATATCTATTCATTCTTAACCATGCATTGTGAGATCCAGATGGATTCAGATCATCCCCCATGTTTAATCACTTGTTCTGCATGTCAAGGCCTAAGTGTGGTTATTAAAATTGATAACAATTTCAGGCATTCATATACAAACCTACATGCTAAATGCTTGGGCATGATGGAGGTAATTTGGGCAGATGAAAAGATAAATTCATCACTAATGGCTGAGTAAGACTGGAAGGCCAGGCCATGGGAAGTTGTTGTTCTGTAACATGTCCATGTCCATGTCGTGCTGGGTAATCACATGCCTGGAGTACCTGCACATCAGCACCGTGCTATTTCTGCAGCAGGCATAGGAAACTGGCATGCCAAGATTCTTCCCACTTTCTTTGATTCCGAGCCTCTGGCTCTCCTATGTAGTCTTTTATCCACCGGCACCCATGCGGCCATGCCTGTACTGTTTTGATACACCACATTCCCCCCACTGTGCCTTCTTGTTGTCGTGTCAATCACATACAGGGTGGATCATAACAGATCGCATCCACTGCTATTTTGAGTGCCTCCATATGTGGGAATTTGGAAACAAGCTTTTAATTCAAGGACACTAGTATGTATTACTTAAGTTGTTATCATCATAAATAACTCTAACTAGGAGATATAACTAAGGTGTCTGGCAAAAGTAGTCTGTGTACTTCAGATTGTGATTTTTGGCATTCCACTAGGCCATAGGATGGGTTTTTCAACAACGCTTTAGGATAACAACAAATAATGTGGGAATTTATTAAAAAAGATTTTCTGACAACGATTAACATTGGCTGAATCAAAGCGGCTGGCTACCATTAATGCTGGCTCACTTGGACATCGTATTAAATGTTATACATTTATTATAGCATACGCCTTTGCGACATCCCGGTAAGCCTGCTTTGTAATTTATATGTCCAAGTTGTACAATAATCACTACTACAAACCAGCAACTATTAAAGCAGAAAAATTAAACCAAAGATGGCAGGTACCCAGGCTAACACAATCTCAGAAACCTGTTTTACTATTTTTAGGTACTCTAAAATAAACATTGGAAACATGGAAAAAGTTGAGTGTTTCGGAGAAAGCAGTCTCTCTTTGATATGTAAATGATACCAAAATAGCTCCTGGCCACACAATATGCAGATATGGAAATGCTGCATGTTTCCACTGTGCCATATTGTTATACAGTATAAACAAAACTGCTCTTCCGTCAACATAACCCCCCATGTTATTTGCAGAGTGGCATTCCAAGCTTTTTATTCACCACTGTGCATGGCAGACTCTAAGACTCTAACTGCCCATTAATATATAAAAGGCAATAAATCAATTGTCAGTGTGGTAGGATAAATGTTACGATGTCGGATGATAAATGTTCGGTCCTGAGTGCACTGTGCTGTCTTAACTATGGGTATCACAAAATCCATCTCTCTAATGGGATCATAATTCTTCTGTATCATATGTCAGAATAGGCACTAAGTACAAGTACAATCGGCTATAGGGAAGAAATATATGACACAAGATGAAAGTTGACCAAACTCTCTACGCTATGTGCTCTTATCAAGTGATTTTGTGATCGAAATATGACAGGGAAGAAATCACAATAATCATAATCGTACTATCGTACCTCTGTATTGTACTATGTATACTCAGTCATAGTGTGGCTATATACTGGCTACAATGGCCTAGGGAAGAAATGTGGGTAAAAAAGAAACTGCAGATGCTTTGTGTTCTTATGTTGTGATCAAATATGACAAGGAAAAGGTAATTATTTTCAGCCAATTTTAGAGATGGCCCACAACATATCATACAACTAATGCTGCTGTATTGATACACTTTGAAGTGTTTATATAATATATGATTTTATGGCGGGCACACTTTTTTTGGTCCAGAAAAAGAATTTCTAGATTTATAAAACTTTCAAAATGTTAATAAATCACATTGGGGACAGGAAGCCATCTATTAGCAGTGTACTAATTAAGTGAGCAAATTTGCCGAGCTCATGGGGGGTTTATTTATTCTGAGCTGTCGAAATCCTGTAATCCAATAAGCTAGCTTCCTATTGTCTCACACTGTAAACTAAAATGGCCTGTTTGCAGCAGCAAATAAACACGTAACATTACACCACTGTCACCAGAAAGGAACACTGAAGCTAGGAAGTGGTGGCCACAATGGTTTGTGTAATAATGATATTTTAAGTGTATCATTATCTATTGTGTTCTTTGCATGCACACAATTCAAGTGTATGTAAACAGACCGTACAAAATTTATAAACATATTCACTTTCGGCTTAGCAAGAGACAAAGTGGTACGCTAGAGTTAGCGAAATGGAAATTGCAAAAGCTTGGCCCATATGGCCCATTGGCCCATCCGTCTACGTGTGTTCAAAAGGTAGAAGCTACATCGCATGTTGAAGATATTAAGGGCACGGTATTACGCAGTTCGGAATCCTCGACCCCCCTCCCACCCTAACCCTAACCCAGGGCGGTGCCGGCGGCCTGCTTCCCTCCGCAAATACAGCCCTATAAACCCGTATTACGTCAAGTCTGGGATGTCTAGGGATGTCGTGGGGTTTCATCGTTAATTCCACCAAAATCTGGCCAGCTAGTCGGAGAAATGACGAAGAAAACGTACCGATGGACAGCTGGACGGGACAGCTGGACGCCATCGCCAGTCATCCCTCCAACCCCAGTGATTGTGATGTCAGCACCAAAAAATTATGCATCCCTCTATTCTATAATAGCCGGACAATTCAGACGAATCTGCAGCCCTTCAAGAATTATTACCCGTGGTAATCCAATTTGGAGATAACGCATCATCGATAAACTCTACGTTAAAGGGTGAAATTCGTGAGCGACAGGCCCAGAGGAAAATCGAGGGACGGCGATTTTGTCACTAGACTTTCGATTCCGCTCCATCTCTCTTTCCTCACCCTTCTCCAAAATCACCCACAAACTAACGCCTATTTCATCACTTACCTACGTATCTATTCTAGGTCCTGGCGTCCAATATAAGCTCATATCCGGGTCAAATTCAGAGAAATTCGTGGAAAACTGCAGAGGGCCCCGTGAGAAGTACCATCCCTCTTGCGTGCCCGGACAGGACTGATGGTACCGCTGATATTACAGGTGCAATACTAATAGCAGGCGCGCGGTGGCGCTGCAATAGTTCTTGGAATTTCACCGGAGACGTCACTGACCCTAGGTCAATGACCTCAATCGAGGGCTTGGTAGATTTGCCCTGATTTTCTCAACTTTGTCGGCAAAATTTCAAAGATCCGTTCAAGTGTAAGTGTTAAACGCAACAACCTTGTTTTCAGTAAGATAATACGAAATATTTATTGGTGAGCTACTAGTATTCGTATCTACTGACTTCCAAACTTGGCTGAAGGCGCCTTCCCAGTAATGACGCAAGCGTGACATCATAGTTACTTCTGTGACGTAACACTAGATCAACGTTTCAAGAAAACAGATACACTAGCCAAGGAGGTTGAATTGAACCTCCTTGCACTAACGTTCTGTGACTGTTTTCTTTAACATAAATTCCTCCACTGTCTAAATAAGGAATCGACTGGGCTTTCTCTGGCTGACCACATTTGCAACTGTCTTGTGGGCTACTTTTAGTGAGATTTATGTATGGTTTCACATTAACTTTGTTAATACTAAAATTTTGGTTCTCTTTGCCCAATACTAGGTTCTCATAAAAATAACATGATCATGCACCAGTCAAAGAACAAAGGACTGCAGTATTCACCATGTTTTATTGTAGTGATTTATCAGTACATTTTGAGAAGGAAGCTAGAGGCTGGTCTTAACTACATGGGATGTAACATGTGTCCCTAATCATGCTCAAGTACAGTTAACAGTTGGTACATGTGAGTCCAAAGTGCAATTTATTTTGAGATATTTTATACTGCAGATATTGTGAAGTATTTTGTCTAGCCTCAATGCAAGCTTTACACATTGGTTACCATTTTCATCTCCATGTAGAATAACTTTTTTTAACACTTTATAATCAATTTTCAATGATGACATGACTGCATACTCATAATATCTCCCTTTAACCCTTGTAAAAGCATTCACTATCTTTGACATTTGGAACAATTCATCAGGCACAGTAACATCTTGCATTGACTATTGATACATTATCAATACTACCTAATGTCAATATGTCTTCCGGGGCCAGCAGGCTCTATCATACTAAAGACTTTTAAGTTTACTTCAAGTTTTTCTAATCACATAACAGTTGTTACACATACATGTACTAGTATTAAGTTTAGCTCTCATTATGGACTATGCAGACAATAAAATATGAATAATTTGCAGGGCTGATTTATTCATAATTGAAGAAACAGGACTTTAATTCTTATCTGTCCTATACAAGTGTTAGTTATACTGTCTTAATTGTCTTCGAATGTCTCTTCGCTGTTCTTCACACGCTCATTTTGCAGCTTGCGGAAGCGGAGGATAACGTCTTCCACGGACCGTTCCCCGTGGACCTTGTTGTCACGAGTGCGTACGTTCACCGTCCCGCTTTCCACTTCCTTCTTGCCTACAACTGTATGGGCAAAAATCAAAGTTAAACCTCTGTGTTGCAAATAGATTGAGAGGTGTACTATACACAATTTTTGAGATGTGTAATGTTGTGAAGAATAAGAAAGAGCATATCATTTGAGAGAGGTTTGGTTGTTAACTTGCTCCCTGATGAGGTAGCCTTTTAACATTCTGTACAGGTTATATGGGGTTGGGCAGCAGGAGGAAGGTTAACATCACAGAGAGAAGTTTGTCATACATTGTATTATATGTCAGGGTAGAGGTTCCGATCTGGTATCTATTTCTGTAGAGAACCCGACTGGAGTCTCTGTCAACAGAAAATCCAACTGGGATCTCTGCTGATAGAATCGTTCAGTCTCTCCCCTGACATATACACACAAGAAGATGAAACATTCAGAGTACAGACAGCATGCATGCTAAGCTGGTTGTCTATAGTGGATACCACAAGTCCATACCATTGAAAGAGAGGAGGCAGGATATATAACTGAACAGAAAGGCTAGAAAGAATATTTTCTATGCCATTAGATACAAGAACTCTGGAACAGGTAGTGGCACAAAGCATGAATTTCAAAAGCTATTAGTTTTAATACTATTAACACAGTTGTGTAAGTATTGGCTGGAAGGTACAGCAGTCAATTTCATTTTTAGCTGCTCCAATTATGAGGCATTATACATGTAGCCCTACATGTACAATGTACATGTACATCTTACAACTTATACTTACTTAGTACTTACGATTAACTTGAATCTACAAATGTATGTACGGATCCCTTTATCTATATAATCAACATCCTCATCTTTACACAATTCCGTGTATTAAATCATTGTAATCATCACAGCTTCATTTTTTAATCATATTTCTTTGTGTTTGATTCAACCTTTGCCCCAAGGTGAAGTTTGACATGACTTGACCTATTCCAGCCCAAAGGCCTCTTCGCTGTCCCTGGTATACTCCACCCGGAGCTTTTTGAAGCGTTGGACAACTGCGTCCACCGAGAACTCTCCATGGACCTTGTTATCGCGGGTACGGACATTCACGGTCCCGTTCTCTCTCTCCTGTTTTCCTACAACTTTTTTTTTTGAGCAGTGACATGTGTTAGGAGATAACTATATTTTTTTATTTTCTATTCTACAAGATTAAAGGACAAGAAAAGTAACTCTAGTTTTCAATTTCAGATTTTCTGACATTTTATAGATCTTGAAACTTGTCATAGTTATACAAAGGTATTTGATGACATTACTAGCCATTTAAAGGAATCTGGCACTGGTTGTTGAAAATGGTACAATGATTTTGTCAAGTTATTAAGTGATGATGAACTTTGTTAAAAAATGGTTACTAGTATTTTTATTTCAGCAAAAAAATCCCTTACCCATGATGAAGTTGTACTGAGCCAGTTGAGCGTTGCGGATCTTTTTGTTCATGGTGTCTCCGGGGTCACAGTCTGCCTCACACATGAACCCGGCATCATGGATGCTGTCTCGGACCTGAGACAACAAACAGTGACAAATGGATACATGACTTGTGTCGTTAACTTGTAGACAAACCTGGCAAAAGGATCACC